ATCAATGGCATAAGTCCACCTTAAGCAACCAAAAATGGAAGAGAAAATTAAAGACAAAGTAAACAGTAGGAAAATAATAATAAAAATAAAACCAGAAATTAATGAAATAGAGAATAGGAAACAAAAAATAATTGAAGCCAAAAGCAGATTCACTGAAATTAGTATGTGTGTAAACCTACATCTAGAATAATCAGGATAAAAAAGAGAGTAGAACAAATAACCAGTTATGAGGTTATCAAGATGAGAGAAGTGAGAATACTACAGAAAACATGCAAATTGAAGCATAACAAAGGGATATTATGAATGACTTAATGCTAGTAAATATCATTTAAAAGAATTGGACAAATTCCTGGAATTGCATAAATCATCTAAGCTCACTAAAGAAAATTACCTGAATAGCCCTATTTCTGTGAAAAATATTATTGAATTTGTACTTAAATGTGAACTGAAGAAAAATCATGACACAGATGGTTTCACGGGAATTTTTCCAGACATTTAAGTAAGAAATAATAAACATTATATAAAAGTTATATTAGAAAACAGAAGAGGAAGAAATACTTCACTACTCATTCTATGAGACTAGTAATGCCCTGACCCCTAAAAAGTCAAGAACAAGAAATTGATAGAACAATATTTCTCATAATCATGAATATAAAAAATTCTTAACAAATTATTGACACATTGATTTCAGCAATGCATAAAAAGGATAATGCAGTCATGCTTTGCCTAACCACAGGGGTATGTTCTAAGAAATACATCCCTAGTCAATTTTGTAGCACTGTTTACATCATAGAGTGTATTTACACAAACCAAGATAGTATAGCTTATTACACACCTAAACTATATGGTATGGCCTATTTCTCCTAGGCGGCAAACTTGTACAGCATGTTACTATACTGAATATTGGAAGCAATTGTAACATAATAGTAAATATCTGTGTATCTAAATATATCAAAACATAGAAAAGGTACAGTAAAAAATATGGTATAAAAGTTTTTCTTGCTAGGTAAGGGTGGCTCACACCCATAATCTCAGCACTTTGGGAGGCCGAGGCGGGCTAATCACAAGGAGTTCAAGACCAGCCTCACCAACATGGTGAAACACCGTCTCTACTAAAAATACAAAAATTAGCCGAGCATGGTGGCATGAACCTGTAGTCCCAGCTACTCAGGAGGCTGAGGCAGGAGAATCACTTGAACCCAAGAGGCAGAAGTTACAGTGAGCTGAGATTGCACCACTGCACTCCAGCCTGGGTGACAAAGTGAGACTGTCTCAATAAATAAATAAATAAATAAATAAATAAAGCAAGCGAATGCTACACACACACACACACACACATATATGACATTTACTGTTGTAAATGGAGCTTCCAGGACTAGAAGTTCTTCTGGGTGACTCAGTGAGTAAGTGGTGAGTGACTGTGAAGGCCTGGGACATTACTGTATAGTACCCTAGACTTTATAAACACTGTATACTTCGGCTACACTAAACATTTTCTTTCTGCAATAATAAAATTCACCTTAGCTTTTTTTACTTTATGTACTCTTAAAATGTTTAAACTCTTGACTCTTTTTTAATAACAGCTTAAAGTACAAACACATTGTATAGCTATACAAAATATTTTCTTTATTGTTTATTTCATAGGGATATATATTTTTTCTTGTTTAAGTTTTTAATCACTAATTTTTTTCCAATAAAGGAAGATACCCACATTAGCCTCGGCCGACTCAGGGTCAGGATTATCAACATCAATGTCTTCCACCTCCACATCTCATCCCACTACAAGGTCTTTTGGGGCAGTAACAGGCACGGAGTTGTCATCTCCTGGGATAGCAATGCTTTCTTATGGAATATTACCTAAAGAAACTGCCTGAGGCTGTTTTACAGTTAACTTTTCTCTTTTATAAGTAGAAGGAGTACACTCTAAAAGAATGATTAAAAGTACACTATAGTAATATATAAACCAGTAACATAAGATAAAAGTTGAGATTATTAAAAAACAAACAAGCAAAAAAGAATTGGTGTTTCTGAAAGAGGAGGAAGATAACCAGAACTCTCTCTATGAGTTTGTACACAGAGGGAAGGCCACCCTGCAGGTGCCTTGATCTTAAACACCTAGCCTCCACAATTGTGGGAAAAGAAATTCTTTTTTTTTTTTTTTTTGAGATGGAGTCTTGCTCTGTTGCCAGGCTGGATTGCAATGGCATAAATTCGGCTCACTGCAACCTCTGCCTCCCTGGTTCAAGCGATTCTCCTGCTTCAGACTCCAGAGTAGCTGGGACTACAGGCGTGCACCACCACGCCCGGCTAATTTTTGTATTTTTAGTGCAGACGGGGTTTCACCATGTTGGCGGTGGCTCAAGCCTGTAATCCCAGCACTTTGGGAGGCAAAGGCAGGCGGATCACAAGGTCAAGAGATCAAGGAATTCCTGTTGTGTGAACTATCCAGTGGGTGGCGTTTTGTTTTGGCAGCTCAAGCTGACTAGTACAACTGACATCACTTATCTCGCTTGGAAATATTATCTCTATGAAACGGTCTGGACATTTCTCTCAGGGCTACTACCCTACATTTCCTGATACTTGTGGGAATTTTTTCTTTTCCACAAACATGACATGTCTACATGTACAGATGAAAGGTCAGAATTTCCCTCTAACACAAATTTTACCTTTGTTAATGTTACAACCACACATTCTCATCCTCCCAGTATATATTTTATATCCAGAGACTAGAACAATTATTTAGGTTTTCAATAAATTATTATTTCATTCTATCGGAAGGATGAAATAATACCATATGAAGATATGGAGAAGAAAAAATATAGATTTAAATTACTCATTATATTATTCTCTGAATCTGATTTATACTCGTCTATATAATAATATTTCCAATTAAATAGGAGAAAACAATTTTGAAGAAATGCAAAACTTTAAGAAAAAAATCTCAGCAGAAAAGAAGTTCGCTGAAAAACCAAGCCAGCTAAAACTTCCCATCTGCTGGAGAATCTTGGTATTCTGGTGAGAAGTAATTGGTAAGCTGTTATTTGAAAGGGCTGTGGTGTAGACAACTAAATATGACCAAACTAAAAGCATCCAGTCTCACAATTACTATTCTGACTTGATGGTAAGTGTTCTAATATTGTCCTAAAGATGGGACTAATGAGGAATCTGCATAACTTAACATCAACATTAATAGGTGGGGAATCTGAAATTACTATCAAACTTGGAATCTCTGTGATCAAGTTATCTCAGAAGTAAAGGAGATTTTCTTCTTAAACCTGGAATCATATTTTTCAAGGGCATATGTTCTAACACTGTAACAATCACACACCCAGTTTCCATGTATTTCTCCCTCAGAAATGATGAAGTGCCCTTAAGTATGAATTCACAGGATAAAGATACATGCTCCCTTCTTGCTCTTGAATGCAGGAAGACTTCTAGCCCCTTTACACAGAACAGTTTACGTTTTATAGCATTCCTTAATAAATGACTGAAAAATTATTTCAAAACAAGGCTTATTCACCTGTACTTTCCAACCAGCTACTATTCCTACTATTGGTTTGTGGAATCGTCAATTACATTAGCTAAGATCGGCATAGGCTTGAAGTTTAGGATGTTTTTCCCATGACATACCAAAGTGGAACTAGAATAACGCAAGCTCATTTTTGTTGTTCAATTTCCTACTCATACTATTTTTGTGCTTTACTTTCTTTAATCTGTTACATCAATGTTGTTCAAATAAGAAAAAATAAATCTGTTTGGAAATACAAAACCATAGGAAAAAAGATTGTAGAACAATATTTGTTCATTGGAATGAATGATTCAGTGGCTTTTCTGTGATACAATTAGGTCTGATATAGACTTTTAAGGATCCACACGAGTAAACCAGCAGTCACTGGAACAGACGATGATTATCTGGGGTGAATATGTTAATATTCAAGGTGTAATCCTACCAAAAAATACCAACAGTTTGTCACAAGAAAATTATTGTCTGAAAAGAACATCTAAACGCATAATATTTGAAGAAACATCTCATGTATTGTTACATCCTCTATTAAAATGATAAGCGGTATAAACAAAGGGTTTAAAGTTGAAGGTAATGTCAGTACATGCTCAAGCACAAAAGAATAAAAGTTAGTTTGGGATTTCAATTATTGCCCTTCAAAGAACTTTTAAAACAATAACCTCATCCTTACTAAGGACACTTTTGTACATCTGATGTATATTTTACTAATCTTTTAAAATTATTTTTCACTATATGGTTTATGAAGTGATTCTGTAAATACTTGTACCTAATGCTTCTGTAGTAACCTGCATTACTAATGCATGTTTACAAGATGGTCCAGTTTTAAAGTTTATTGTCTCCAAGTTAGTAGTTTGAGACACAATCTAAAAGAATGGAATATTTAAAAATATTTTTGATCTTAATAAAAATCAAATAGTATTTTAAAATTCTAAAAAAAGTAAGTAAACTATCAAATTATAGATGTAGAATACAGAAGTTACTCATTTGATGAGCTGATTTTTAAAAATTACATATCAAATTCACGGAATTTTAACTCTATAAAATCAGTTTTCTATAATACAATATTTTGTGTATAATGCAAATATACACAATTATAATAAAATATGATATTGTATACATATGACAGTGGTGTCAATAACACTAGAATATCTATTTCAAGATACATTGTAGGGATAATAAGATGTTTGACTAAGTCACAGGTGCTCCTGGTCCATTTTTCCAAAAGTCTGCTTTTACAGACAGAATAAGTATAATGGGTACAGCCTTTGACTCAGAATATTAGTGAGGGGTCACACTGTTGATCTCTTTAGCAGTTTAATCTAACCACTTTAAGCCCCAAAAATAGCACCAGGATTTTTTTTTTTAATGAAACTAAAATGCAATGGTTTGCTTTCTACCAAAATAATTAAGATCCCAAATACTGTTCCGTAAGCCTGATAATGGACACAAGCCAGAGGGAAGGGGGTGCATAACCTACCTGAACCAGGAGATGGCAGGTTCTGGAGAGCCTGAGGCCCTGCAGGAAAACGTCATCTCTTCTCCTCTCTCTGCCGTGGCATTGAAAGATTTCTGAGGCATTGAGATTGCTGGCGGCACTGAAGGAGAGATGAATATAGAATCAATAGAGATGAAAACACCTTCACTAACATCATTTAGATAATTTTTGCCACATTTTAAGCTTTCAAACATCATCCTTCACATCTCCATTTATATTAATGAAACTGATTTGGTTTCATAGTAAAATAACTTTATCACTGATCTTCATTCTAATGTGCAATAATTATATCAATTCATTGTAAAGCCTTTTCACTATTAAATCTATTAAATTAAACAATAAAGTATACATTCTAGCAAACATATATACTTTTAGGAATTATGTCTCAGAAAAAGACACCACCACCCTAACTTACATCAATTTGGGGATCTACTTTGAGCATAAGTGGATTTCCTATTTGGGTTCTCATTGGTCTGTGTAATGCCATAAGCAATCAATCACTGCTTCAAAACAGGGCTTTCAAATTAGGTGTCAAACCATAATGTTCTTTCTGATTAACTACACTTAATTTCTTCAAGCAACTATAGAACATTTTCTGAAGAGAAACTGCATAAGCCATACAGAAAATGGAAATAGATTTTCATGAACTATTCAATTTTAAAATTAAGCATCTTCAATTTCTAACTAATTACATTGGAAAAACTGTATATGCCGCACATTTGGAACATGTTGAAACTGTTACTGAAATGCACTGTTTGCAATAAACAAATCACTGGCATCCACAATAGAAGTTAAATTTCAAAGTAGAGCATAAATTGTGACTCAATGCATACTTTCATAATTTTAAGCTGAATATCATAAAGCAATATTCCTAAAATTAAGTATATTAATAATTTTTACATACACTAAGCAATATCAGACAGGCATTTAGAAGTGTGATTATACTCAAATATCTCTACAATTCAGGTCAGCGTTTATGCCGCATTACCTCCATTGATGGTAGAGACAAGAACTGGCATGTAACTTAGTAATTAAACGCAATAGATCAAGCTTCTGCCTTTATGAATTTAGATACAAGAAACATAATCTGACATGTTGACTCTAAAGTAACATAATAATTACTAGTATTACAAAAGATAGAACTTTCTCAGATATTAACTCTGAATTTTAAGTACATTGTCATTTGACTATCTGTACCCTGTTTTTCTTCCTTTGTAATTATGGAAAATAACATTTTAAACAAAATGCATATTTTGCATATCATTATTTATACATTTAGTTGCAAGAGCAGTATTACTCTCTTTAGTACAGTTAAGTCTTTTCATCCCTTAGAGAATTATAATGAAATGAATTCTTTCAAGGATTTGTATTCTGTATGTGTTGAGTAGTCAACACTTCCTGGAAAGTTTCTATTTTATTCTTTAGCTGGAAGGAACACGGGGATATATAGTGAAGTAGTTCTATTAACTCCCACTAACATGGACATATTAGTCTACCTTCAAGTTATAATTCCCCCAACTGGCTGCTTCGGCAACAGAGATACCACTAATTTGACAGACGGATTTACCTTTTATCAATAATGGCATTCAGCAACTTCCTATGTTTTCTGAGCCTTCCAAGTCTTCCCCCCAATCCTCAAATATTTCTCAGAAGATAAAGATGATATTACCCATGAAATGCCTATTCATGTCCCAGCTTGTTTGGTTCAAATTAATCAGCACCCACTAATTCCTTCAAATGTATTTGAGCCAAGGAAAGCTAACTCCACTCAAGCAGAGTCAGGAAGTATATTCATTTGTAATTCCAATTGTTTTAAATATAAAGCAACAAATAAATGCACACATAGATTTTTCATCTAGCAGAGGACTGCTCATCTTAAGACTCACAACCCTTTTTCTCTCTTTACTTGTTTTTATGTTTTCTTTTTTTGGATTCAGGGGGCACACGGGCAGGTTTGTTAACTGGGTATCTTGCATGATTCTGAGGTTTGGGGTAAAGGTGATTCTGTCATCCAGGTAGTGAGCATGGTACCCAATAGGTAGTTTTTCAGACCATCCCACCTCCCTCTTTCCCCTCTCTAGTAGTCCTCAGTGTCTATTGCTCCCATCTTTATGTCCATGAGGATTCAATGTGAGAATATGAAGTATTTGATTTTCTCTTCCTGTGTTAATTTGCTTAGGATTATGGCCTACAGTTGCATTCATGTTGCAGCAAAGGACATGACTTCATGTTTTTTTTTTTTCAGTGTAGTATTCCATGGTGTATATGTACTACATTTTATTTATCCAGTCCACTGCTGATGGGTACCTAGGTTGACTCCATGTCCTTGCTATTGTGGATAGCACTGTGATAATCATACAAGTGCATGTGTCTCTTACAATTTATTTTCCTTTTGGTATTTACCCAATAATGGGATTGCTGGCTCAAACAGCAGTTCTGCTTAAGTTCTCTGCAAAATCTCAAAATTACTTTCCACAATGGTTGAGCTATTTGCATTCCCATTAACAGTGTATAAGCATTCCCTTTTCTCTGAAGTCTTGACAACATCTGTTATTTTTTGACTTTTTAAATAATAGTCATTCTGACTGGTGTGAGATGGTATCTCATTGTGGTTTTGATTTACATTTTGCTAAGGATGAAAGTTGCACACCTATATCCATCGGAACTTTGACAAAGTTAACAAAATGTTGACTCCTTATTCAGTAAGTGGTGCTGGGATAACTGGCAAACCATATGCAAAAGAACCAACTGGACCACTACATTTCATCATACACAAAAATTGACTCAAGATGGATTAAAGGGTTAAATGTAAGGCCTCAAACTATAAAAAAAAGTATATAAAAACACATAGAACATACACTTGTTGACACTGGCTTTGGCAAAGAATTTATGGCTAAGTCCCCAAAAGCAATTGCAACAAATCCAAAAATTGACAAGTGAGACCTAATTAAACTAAACAGCTTCTGCACAGCAAAACAAATTATCAACAGAATGAACAGACAGCCTACAGAATGGGAGAAAATGTTTGCAATCTATACCTCT